CACGACTTACTATGGTTGGTTTCATTTGGATAACCCATTTTCTCGGAATGGCTTGTATATCAGTACTGAACTGTAATTACTGTTTCACTGTCTACAAGCGTATTGGTCACAACAGTAAACACCTACTCACATTAAGCGATTGCCAGAAATAATAGGATTTCAGTTGAAGAACCTATTATTGGTAGTATAGGCAAAATAAAAACAAGGAAAGTTATGTCATCAAGTGGAAATCAAGACAAGAAAATAATGAGCAAGCACTTAAGTACCAGAAATGCCATCTTGTTAAAAAAATAAATAATATATTAAAAATGCAATATTGCACCTTTCCTTTACAATTATCAGTAGCATCAGGATCACTAACAATAACAAGATATTGTTAGCTTTTTCCAGATAACATTGCATTGGATCAGAGGTGAAAACATTACAATGTAAAATTGTCTTATTTGTGTCTCATATTCTGTGAAAGCCTGGCAAAATTTTAATAAGGGGTCCTCACTGAACCTTATACTTGACTAGTGATAAAGTCTGTGCCATAAGGAACAGGAATAGGGAATATAGGGGAACAGGAACTGGGAATATAGGACTGCCCTATACTCACCTTACTCTGGGGGTTGGCACTTCACAGTATTTTACAGGAGCGCCCCTGCCATGAGTAGCCCCACCACATTGCCATCAGGCCCTCCAGTCAGACATAGTGTACAGTCATACTCAGATCTCCCAGTAATAGTATAGTAATAATCCATGTATGGATTATTAATAAATGACTTACCTCTGGTAAACACAGGCCTTTCTGTGCACCCTGCTTTACCTGCACCTCAACTCAATTTGGTGTCAGAACAGAATGGATCCTACATCCAAAGAGAATAGGAAATAAGAGAAAAGGAAGGAATAAAAAGAAGTGTCGTGAAAGGATAGTTTATTTTCCTCATCCCAAAAATAATTAGCACAGCTTCTGGAACAGGTTCTGCTGCCAAGGCTGAAATGTAGGAGAGATAAGGAAAGCTCTGCTATCTGAGAAGGGCAGAGAAGGTAGGACAAGCCCCCTCCTGAAGAGGAGGCAAATAGGTAGCAGGCAGGAAGAGAAAATTTGAAAGGCATCTCAGTAGAAAAAGATGTGCTGCAGGCCAAAAACATAGCTGGCACAGTAAGAAGGCCTGTGAAAACATAAAGGAAGTGCGACATCTTCATAGGAACACTGATGATGTGAAGGAAAAAGTTGCCTAAGGATATCAGGGGGTGATGTTCATGGGGAACTAAAGAAGAACAGTTTGAAGAGTCTGCAAAGGAAGGCAAGCCATTCTAGGAGCTGCTTCAAAGAGTCCTGATGTGACTCCACATAAGAACTTGGCTAAAATATATATTCTGAGCAGTTTTATGTCCCAGCAGCACTTGTCAACATAACCAATGAATATCAAATGAATCTTGTCGCAGAAAACACAAGATTTGCTAGGCAGATGACAGACTGATAACATCAGGAAAATGTCCGGATTAGAAGGTATATTACAGAGTAGTGAAGAAATTGTTTAATCCTTAAATTTTGATGGGAAATCTAAGCAGACATCAAAAGAAACATGAGGCTGCAAACACAGTAGATACTGTTACAGAGCTGATAATATTTGACTGTGGTTATGCTGTGAACGACACTCCTTCCCATCTCTCATCCCAGTGAGGAACAGTTTATGGAAAACTGATCACCAGATCAGAAGTTCACTTAGCATCAGCTTTAATATGTGTGAAAACTTGATACCGAATTTGTGGTAGATTAAAGCAATGGTAGCCGATTGCCTAAATGCAAACTAGAACATCCCTCCAAAATACAGGTCTCAAAGAGAGTTTAAAAAAAGAACAGCCTCTGGCCAGCAACCTATTACTGAAAACATGAAGACTGATCTTTATTTCCATAGTCCCAAACTCCTCAATCTAATTTCAAGACTCCAATTAGATGTCTATATTTATGATGTAAAAAGTTGATGATACAGAGAAGGATGTGTGGTATGGTCCTTCTGCTGAAGTTCCTGAAGATGAATAAATCTGTTGAAGTGAACCCTGTTCTAGAGGGTAAAGAATTCAAGTCAGAGAAAGTAAAAACAACGTCAAGTAAAAAATAAGGGGGGGATGGGACAGGATGGGATGTTCCTGTGGGCCATGAGAAAGCAGCAGCCAGAGGGAAAAATAATTAAGAAAAAAGCTATGCTATCTGAGAAGGACAGTGAGGGTAGGACAAGCCCCCTCCTTAAGAGGAGGCAAATAGGTAACAAGCAGGGAGAGAGAATTTAAAAGGCATCTCAGCAGAAAAAGATGGGCTGCAGGCCAAAAACATAGCTGGCACAGTAAGAAAGACTGTGAAAACATAAAGGAAGTGTGACAACTTCGTAGGAACACTGGAAAAGAATTGAGAAAAATTGAATGAAGAAAGGATAATGGTATGGTTATTTGGGATGTAGTGTGTATTACCTATATATTTTAGTCAAAGTTGAATTATATAAAATAACAGCAATTGACTTTAAAAATACAATATTTTAAACACTATCTTTTAGGTTTCTGAAGTGTGTACATATTGAAAACTTAAAAAAGGGGTATCACACTTAATACAACGTGATTGAGCTACAGGGACTGCATTTAAAATTTGAGGGATATATTTGATATTCAGCATACAATACACATCACCTTATATTAAAGTTCCTCAGCACAGATACAGGGTCACATTTATATATCAGACATATTAGTCAGCTTGTATGGTGTGGGAGTTAAAGGAAACTATCATCCTTAAGAGTTTCAGTCCCAAATACAGAATTGATATTAAAATTGGCATTTCTGTTTAACAGGAAACACAATCGACAATGAAGAGAGAACTTTTCTATATTCTTCCTGTCCTTTACCTGTCGGGGGGGGGGGAGCACCGAGCTCGGATGGGCAGGGTGTGCCTTCCCCACCCCCTGCGGTGCAGATCCCTGGATTCCGCAGGAAGTGGAGCGAAGCCCTGCCCCGCTTCCCAGTGGAGTCCCAGGATCTGCAGGGGGGAACGCAACCAGTTCCATCATGCAGGGCTTCCCCATTACGGTGCACAAGTGCCAGGAGCTGCATGTACACCACAGGGAGCCCCATGTGGAAGGCCAACCTGGTTGCACTCCTTGCCACCACATGCAGCGCTGGCTGGAGCCACATGCCGCTGGGCAGCAGTGCCTGCGTGGGTCGTGAGTGCCCACCACCTGCTGCTGCTACTGACGGCAACGGCTGTGCACCTTTGGGAGGGGGGCATATGTGAGGGTCCCCACCCCCCCTCACACCCCACAAACTGAACATACCCACACCCTGCACCTACAACTCTCCACATATCCACCCCAGCATCCACTATGCCCCCCACAAACAGCCACACCTTCTCACAAATCACTCCCCACACACACACACACCGCCAACCATACCCCACATACAATATACAAGAATAAGACTGAGTTATTATGCAATCATCTCTATATGCAGTACACAAACACCAACCATAACAAAGATTTTTTTGTAGTTAAACTATAATACATTATAGTAGGTGTTTGATTTTTAGTATATGATTTTTTTTTCTGGTTCCAGGATAGGAACCCTCCCCTCCCCTCCCAAAAGGATTAATTCCAGGAGCATGGGGAGGGATGTCTGGTGGCAGAAGTCAGGGTAGGAGAAGGACATCCAGTCCCAAGATGGTGACCAGGGAATGGGGCACCTGTCAAGGGGAGGGTTTACCCTTGTGGCCCTTGAAAGTTCACCTAAACTCATTAAGTGGCCCTCCAGTCGAAATAATAGCCCACACATCTGTTCTAGAGTCTCCTCCATGTAAGGATCTGAAGTTCCTTACAAATACCAGTTGGTTACACAACAGTGCTTCATCAATGATCATCTACCATTTTTATGGATTGAGAAAAGGAAACACAGTGAACTTAATAAATCAATCTCTTGATATTATGTAGAAAGCTTATGTGAAAGCCAGGAATAGAAACCAAGAACTCTCTGTCCCTGTTCTGAGCTTAAATATAAATGAATTACAGATATATTAATTTAAACATGTTTCACTGAGTGTGTAATATTGCCTGGTAGTGATGTTTTGTAGTCAAGTTCAAATCTTGAAGATATTTTCATACATCTTTTATATATAATGTTAAAAAAGAATGAAATTCAAAAGCCGTCCCTGAGGCATGCTTCACTGGAAGGCAGTATAGCAGTGTCATAGTATTGTAGTCCATAAGAAGTTCTGAACAATTTAATTAACTTCTTCAGAAATATGCATGGATAATATATAAAACGTAAATTTATATAGTGTTGGTGATCTCAGTAAAAATCCCATATTCTTCTCTTTACTTGAACAATTACCACAAGTGCTACTATGGTGGAAAGTTCTTCAGTACCAACATCAGAAATGGCTTTGGAAATATGCATATTTAGCTACCCAGACATGATCCCTCCAAATAAAGATTAAGCCATGTTCTTGGACAGGTGTACAACATTTGACCAGTATTGCCTATGCTGTGTTTGTCTGAGTCTTAAAGTACAATTACATTCTTTAATTCCCTAGAACTCTCAATCTAGAAACATTTGAACACTACAACATTCAGTCAACCAAAAGGGAAACAACAAAACAAGAATTAAAATTATATTGTTGCATGGAGGCCGTGACACATTTTTTCACTTTAGTACATTTCTTTTATGTCCTATTGCATACAAAAGAGAAATTAACTCATTTATGACAGGTTACAGATGTTAGTGAAAATAGTGTCACTTTTTCCATTTACATCAAAAACTGGAAGTGGTCAGATGAACCTGAGATGAGTTAAAATGCTTTAACAAACTTTTGAGGGGTTTAATTGCTACTTTTAAAAAGCTCAGCTCACTTGTCTCAATATTATATCAAAATACAGTTTCATAGGAAAGAAATTCTGTGCCATATTTTGCAATACTAGAAGAGAATAAAATTCACAGTTCTTCTAAAAGATGCTAAAAGACCACATGCTAAAGATTACCTTACTTGATCTTTTCCAACTCTTCCTCATTAGCATTGTCTGTAAATGAAATAGAGCATTTTAATTACCTTTTACTCTGACACACACAAAAAGGAGGCCAACTGTCTTCCAAAGGGACAATCCACATTTAACCACAACTACAACTGAAGTGACAGCATACATTCTACCGACAACTACACAGGAAGTGAAATCAAACAAACAACTTGAAGCAACATTCACACACGAGCAAACTTCACAATTTGATTTCCTGAAAGTTTCTGGAGAAAACAAGGTAAAGCATATGAAGAGAGTGAAAAAGAAGTAGGCTAACTGAATAGCAAAGGAAAAAAAAAAAAATCAATGAGTAATTAATGATAATTACTGGATTTAAATTAGTGGAATTTTTGACCAATTAGTTTGTCATTTGAGGAACATATGCCTTCATACTTTAGAGCACTCTAGCTGCACTGTGCAGCAGAAGAGGTCTTCTGAGGATATTTCTTGAAAAGGGAAGTCCTTGGGTAGCATGTAGTTATTGCAGGATTTTTAACACCACTTTGGTAATGCCTACAAGTGCTGGGATGTCAGCAGGGAAAAAGGCAAAGCCTCAGGTGCCCCTGGGTCTGGCTGGTTCCTGCCTATTGTCTTTAGATACATTTCTGTGGACTAGGATCTGACAAGGTGCATGACAATTCTGGGATCAGGTGACCCCCACAGTAGCTTAAAAACTTACATTCCTTTCTATGTGCACTTCACACTTGCACCAAATACTCATTGAGGGCTACAGAGCATTTGGCTGATGAAAATGTTCTGGATTTAATTTTCTGTAATAAGATATTATGATACTCTTACATTTCAGATACAATAGTATGAAATGCTGATTACTTTCGATTTTAAAGGGGAATTTAATGTAGACCACTAAAAAGTTGTGCATTTTTTAAACTTCCAAGTGTCTATTTAGTTTGTAATATCCAAAACCTACTGAAGAATTAAAGTATGTCTCTAATAACCTTTTATTACTGGTACACTACACCTTCTGCCATAAAACTTACAAAATTATGACAGTGATCCTGTTTTATTTTGAAAGAAACAGAAACCTATTCACATTATCTCAACAATTTGTCAAAATTTGACCCAGCTAGAGACTATCCACTGCCCTTTCTGAGGGGAGAACTAGCATAGACTGTCCTCAAGTTCTTCATGATTAAACAAGATAGAGTCTTCAAGTCAAGAAGGTGGAACATTTAGATAGCTTCAAATACCACTTGAAGCAACTTACCTGAGATAAGGTAGAATTAAGTTACAGAATCTGCATTCAGCAAAAAATGTTAACATTAATTTTTGGGAGAATAAATTTTCACTTAATGTAAACAAATTAAATGGCATCAAGTCCTGCTGAAGTTTCTCGGTTGATTGCAAACCAAGGAATTTGTGTACTCTGCTTGAGTGGAGGACCCCAGTGAACTATCACTTTCTTTTCCACATAGTCTGGAAAGAGTTTTAAAATATGGTATTGTCCACCCAGCAAAAAAAATGAATTAAAAAAAATCAAGAAGAAAAGCAAAGTGTGTGCATGTGGAGATAGGGACTACATTTTGGTGATAATCTTAAAATACATAGCAGGGTTCTGTTTTAGAATGGAAAATTGGAAGGACAAAATGGTTATTTTTGTGATGTTCTTTAAGCTGCTAAGGAGAGTTTGAGATCTAAAGGGCCAATTTTTTTCCTCAGTAAACAATAGGTCAGAGCTTAGCAAGCACTTTCTATCCATAGAAGTCAAAGTGCTTTAGAAAGCTGGGTAAGTATCATTAACCCCATTTTGTATAAATAGTAGAACTGAGTCATAGAAGAGTTAAGGTCACCCTGTGAGTCAATCACCAAGCCAGGACTAAGACTTGGATTTCTTGGGTCCTAGCAACTGTACCACACTGCTGCCCTTGTCACCAATATATTTTCCTAAAACAGCACCCACTTTTGCTCACACACCCTCACAACTCGGTGCCCAGGGTGATTGCCCCTATTACTCCACTCAAGTTACATTACTGTCCTAGAGCAGTGGTGGCTAACCCACAGCACACATGCCACAATTGGCACAAGCAGCCAGTATGCTTAGCATGTGAACTCCAGGTGCCAAGTTAAAGGGGAGCCAGCAACAGGCGTTGCAGCAGCACTCAGGGAGAGGCAAGGAACCACAGCGGCAGTCATGGAGAGGATAGGGATAAGAGTGGCAGTCGAAGAAAAGGCAGGAATCAGTGCTATCTTGAAGGTTTGGCCACATAAGACCTGTGGGGGCAGGTGCCACAGAATTTAGTGACCCAGTGGCGATGCCATTTGGCAGCACTGGGTGATACCAGGAGCTGATTATGAGAATGGCGCTATCTCATACTTTGGACTTAACTTGTGGCACACTTGCCAAAGAGGCTGGCCACCATACTTCAAAAAGATTGATCCAACACCTCAGGATCAACAGAAAACACTCATCGATCCCTTTGGATCAATCCCTAAGAGAGGAGAAGAGTTAGGCTCAAACCTTAAATCAGCCAGAAATCTAACAGTATTTCAGCTCTGAGAACTTTACTTTGTATCTTTAGCTACAGAAACATATGACTGTACTGTTGAACATATCATTATCATTGCTGGCTGTACCAGAATAAATTTCAAGTTGAAGCAACAACAATCCAGTCAACTTTCCTTAGAAGTCAATACAGAAATAAACAGACTATGATGAACGAGCTGCAGGAAACGATTTCAGTTGAAAGCATTCCATTAACTGAATCCATTCCTCTCTTTCATTTTTTCTGTGATATTATCCTTTAGGCACATACAAAACAGTATAGACTTCAAAAGAATATACAAAATTCCAGCATATTAATACTGGGTATATTTTTTGAAAAAATGAAAAACTGGGATTATACCTTGTTTGAGATAAATCACTTCAGATGGGAGGAGGGAATCAACATCACTGATTTTATTTGCATTAAATAGATCCAGGTAACATTCATATGTTTCATTTGTTTTGTCTAGCACTAATCAAGCAATTTATTACACTTCTAGAGGATATAAGGAAACATGCAGCTCAAATGAACTCACAGTTACTTTGTAAGTTCTCCAGTGATGAAATCTGTGCATTGAACTCTGCTTGAGAAAGAGCCAGAGAAAAAAAAAAACCTCATGCATGCACAATAGCACAAACAAACAATACAGGACACAAAGCAAACAAAAACACTTCATTAGTCTGCACACAACTGCAAATGATGTATATGCCATGCTTTACATTACACGTTCCAAAGCAAACATTTATCATAAACAAGATACAGCTAGGGTTCACAAGACCAAACAAGCTTTACTGGTACATGCCTTAGATAATTTTAAAACCAAATGTTAATACCCATTTCCTACATATAAAAAAAAGTAAAATATCTGCCATCATGCACACAAAACTTTTTAAAGTTCTGGAATTAGAATCAGCATTTTTTCTTTAGTAGTTCTCATATTTCATATTTTTCTGTTATTCTTTTCCTTACATTAGTTATCCAAACTGCCAGTTCCTCATGCTAAAAAATTTTTTAAATTACTTTTTTAATATAAAAGATTACTAGTGTTAGCACCACACAGCAAATACGCATGATTTTATGATTCAGAATTCTTGGAACTAGTGCTACTGCGATGAATAGGTACTTGTACTGGATCAGGGGGAATCAAGTCAAGAAAATATAGACTTTCCTAAAAACTATGGAACTATTTTATTTTAGAAATGTCACCATCAATAGGCTGGACTAGTTCATGTTTCTATAGGCTATAACAAATTCATTTAATTCCAAGGATCAAATTTCATTAAACCCATATTCAAAATTCACATGTATCTGACCATACCTCTTTGTTTCACTGGAATTCCTATGTAATGGGATAGAAATTCTATTCAGGGGTTATGGTTTTAACATGTAATTAGGTTATAAGACTTCCAGTATTAAAATAGACATTTCTTATTTCTTTAGACTTCAGCAGTATGTCACAAAAAGTTAAGACTATTTGGACACAATACATTTGTTCGTCTCAATTCAATGATAAATTGTCACTTTTCCCAGTACATATATACACTTTTATGAAGTTTCTGGCTTTTAGAATGTAATATGTTTTTATGTAGGGAAATTGGATATTTTATGTGCAAATTATATTGCCCATCAGTACTTTGGACACTGCATCTTAACAGAATTTCCTTCATGAAGACACAAAAGAAGTACAAGTATCACTATAGAGAAGATCAAGTATGCAGAACCCTATATGCATGCTGGGTAGTAAGGCTGTGCAAAATTTTGCCCGGTGTTTCATTTTGAAGCTGTTTCAATATGTTTCAAGCTTGAAATAACAAAATTGAAATGAAACAAAAGCATTTGAAACAGTTTTGAAATGAAACAAAGAACTTGAAATGTTTCAGAACTTTTGAAATGTTTTGAGTTTCAAAGCCAGGCTTACTGGCTTCAGTGCTGGTCCCAGCCAGCAGCACCCGCCTCCTATCATCTGGCAGGCAAATCAGGTGCTCCCCACACCGCCAGGAGGGCTGCAGGGGCTGTGCTGGAGTCCTTCTGGGGGTGCAGGCCCCTGATCTGCCTCCTGGATGACAGACTGGTGCTAGACACAGACTGCACTCAGCGCCAGAAAAATCAGTGCTTCCACTGGCCCCAGGCGGCAGCACCTGGCTCCTGTCACCTGGCAGGCAGATCAGGGGCATGCACTGCCAGTAGGACTCCAGCACAGCCCCCGCAGCCCTCCCAGGGGTGCAGGTGAGCCCCTGATCTACCCCAGGCCCTGCACCCTCCTCAAGCCGGCTCCCGTACGGGGCCGGGACAGATCAGCTCGTGCGGGGACCCAGTACTGGAGCTGGCTTGTGCAGGGCAACGATCTTCCCGGCGCTGGTCCCAGGCAGCAGCACACAGCTTCTCTCATCTGGCAGGCAGATCATGGGCTCACAGCCCTCCCGGGGGTGCAAGCAAGCCCCCAGTCTGCCTTCCTGCTGGATTTCAAGTTTCCCCATAATAATCTATGGGCGAAACACTGAAACAGCATAGAAACAGCAAAAGTTTTGATGAAACGAAATAAAACAGTACTTTTGAAACAAAAAGGAAACTCAAAACAAAACACTGTTCTGTCAAATCGTTGAAACAGAAGTCGAATTGGAATGGTGCTGTTTTGAACAGCCCTACCGGGTAGGTCTTACAGTTCACTGTATGGGTAGGTCTTACAGCTACTGGGTATCTCTAAGCTACAAGTAAAACACTTGTTATCCTTGACACCTTGTTACCTTGTTCAATGCTTTTCTTTTCAGAGTTCCACTCACCTCTCATTCACAGAGAAGGATATTCAAAATTGCCAAAAAAAAATGATTGTCACCACCAGAAATACTAACTCTGAACCTCCAGCAAGGATGTCTTTTCCTTCACCTTTAAACCAAAATACCTCAACATCTCACAAGCAGGATGACAGGATATGGCTTCTTCCAACTATCAACCACATTATTTTTAGCAGGCTAGCAAAAGGTACCACTGCAAAACTTGCCCTCTTTCTGCACGCCATTGCTGAACATGGAACTTCCATAATTCTCTTGACCCCTCCAGTTTGGGTAGCAATAGATACTATTAGGCATCATGATCTGCATCACAAACTCACTCAACAATATTATAGCTCACTATACTTCAGTTGGGGCTGAAATGTGGAAAAGCTTGGGGGCATGAATACTAGCAATAAGCAATACTAACAACCTAAAGAGTAAGTTTCAAATTATTAGGTGCTGTTTCCTTATCTCCCTCTTTCACATATTCCAAGAGCTGTAACTAAATTAGAAAGGCTTACATTACCAAAAAGTAGCAGCAATTGCATTTTAAGAGATAACTGAATTTGTACCTTTTTTTTTTAAATATCGTGAGGAGGTATTTCAGATTTGAGGAGACTAGGCTTAAGTACTGAAAATCATCTCCCATGTTATTCAGTTTGGCAATGCGACAAACTTTTTACACTGTTTACATAAAAGTAGGTGTAAACCATTCAGCTTCATCAAACTGTATAACTAGTTCAAAAGAAAATAAGTGAATCCCATTTAGGTAATAAAAGAATACTCAAAGCAGAGGAGGTTTCTGATTCCTTAACATCTGAAAACAGAGTATGTCTTAGTCTTATTTGTCTCTCCCACTATCTAACCATGTTTTGAAGTACTTCAGAGATTTCAGGCTTACACCAAAATACACATTTAAAAAAATATAATGCCCCACTCCATGCAACAAAATAGAGAAAAAAAAGTATTATCTGAATGCCAAAAACCATTCCCCCATGCTACATACAGAGAGAAGATATGTGGTATTTGAATAAGTATTTTATTAGGACCAAATTTTTCCAATAATATTATATGGGAATAATGAAGGGCAAGAACTTGCCTTGTATCTCTAATCAAGTAGTTAATTGCCTCTTGAATCAGAATTATATTAAATCCAGTCATACAGCAAGGCCATATAAAAACAAACAAACAAACCAACCAATCCCTGGATGACAGTCTAATTGGAGTGACATCTATTTTAATAATCTCTTCTCTGGAGTTGAAATAAAGAAAGATGTGGAAGCAAAACAAAAGATATATTGCATCTTGTATCATTAAAGTACTGATGTATTATTGTATACCAATTCAGCATTAATTTTGTATGTTGCTGCCCTACTGTGGCAGAAACTCTCTAATTTGACTAGAACTTTACTTACATATACAAAACTTGTCCTCAATTTACAATGCAGACAGGTCTTATTATGGTAAATCCCCAGCAACAACCATTTAAAAAGAAGAAAAGGTTAGTTTAGTAACTAGAAAGTAAATAGAGTTGAAAGTCACAGTCTGTTGAATTTGTTCTCCAACCAGACAATGCAATCCTAAACCTTTACACAATTGTTTCCTTTTCTTTTTGGCACAGATCCATTTAAGGTGTAGAAATGAAAAGGCCATGCTGTTGCATTGAGGTTATCTTCACTATTTTAAAATGCCTCTGTATAGTAAGTGCATATTCTTCCTATAATGAATATATCTGTGTTTGAGTATGTTGAGTATTGGCTCTACATTAGGAAGTTTTCCTCTTAAGAGAAAAATATTTTTCTAAATAATAACCAGTATTAAGGCAGGATAATGCCAATTTTACAAATTAGGTCACTTTGAGCAAAATGCCTGTTGCTGGCAAACTCAAAAAAAAGTTAATTAAAAAAGGAAGAAGAAATAAATCTCAACTACATTTTAGAGTTTGTTGCAAGAAATGAAAATCTGTAAGATGGAGTCCTAACAAAATGGATTAAATCATTTTTAAAGAAACACTGTGGTTCAAATTTGTGAATGAGTATTACAGTATTTTTTTCTGTAATATTTTCAACTCCAAAAGAATATCATGAAGAAAGTGACAGGCATCAGAATTATTTTCAAACTCTAAAGCTCTGGAATTCAAAGTACCAATCGTAAGTACCACTACTTACATGTTAAATAATTTGTGACAGAGAGAAAAATATAGACCTGTATCACACTATAGTTCTATACATACAAGAGAAAATAGAAGTTGGTGAACTACATTCAGATAAACATTTTTTCCTCTTCTGATATTGTTTTATATATATATAATAGTATTTAACCTTCAATGCTTGATTTTGATAGCCAATACTGTTTCTTGGATAAGTTTTGTCAGTCTTCTAATTCACTCCTGATGACAAAGTGCATTACATCAATCTGAGCTTACAGCTGGGCTCACTTTAGGGATAATCAGCTGATATACTGGGTTGTGGGGGTGAGACTTTTTTCTGGCCTTAAACTACACGAAATTATGGAATAAAAGATAAACATTTTGATTAAAATGCTTTTCACCACTGGATATGTTCTAATACTGAGAAGAAGAATAGAAAAGGCAAAGGGGATGATTTTCTATGGAACAAGCTACTGTACAAAGTGCCTCAAAACTTATTTCACTGTATACCCATTCAAGGTGCTAAGTGTGTTTCTCAGAAGGAATTCTCTCTAGTTTCAAAGTGAGATTGCATGCAGTTTAGTTGAAAGCTTCTCTTAAATTTGAATAGAATGGTCCTTAATAAAATTACCACAAATTCCCTGCCTCTGTGGACCAGAAGTGTACATTAGAAGGAAAATAATCCATATTATGTTATAAGTACTGTACAAAATGCAGTACGTTAAATTTCTAATGTAATCAGCCTGCCCTACTTACAACTCAGAAGTTAACAGAAGAAATGAGAGAACAAAGCAAATTCAGCTAAAGACTAAATTTACCATTTTTAGTAAGACACATGGAAAAATTGAAAAGTAACATTTTCTAAACCACTGAATTGTCTTTCATGCCCCAAATTGATAAGGAGCTTAAAATAAGTGCTGAAGAAGGCTAATATCATGTATGGCACCTTTTCAAGAGGTTGAATAATATCATCCAGTGCTTATTTTATTAAATGCCAATAATCAGAAACTGCACTCAGTACAAAGTTTCCTTCTTAATTTTAGAACTAGAATAGTGTTCAAAAGTGGTCGTCTAGACAACACAGCACTAGGTCCAAAATTCTTTGCTGACAATAAGCCAGTCCATTTGATAAGAAAATTCACCTGGATTTTGTTTAATGCTGCTGAATATTTATATTCTACCTAGATTATTCACTATTTTCATAAAAACAGTCTGCTTTGAGGCAGGCCACACATGCTTAAATGCACCAAAAAGACAATTCAACTCTGTTCACATTACATATATAAATGAAAAACAAAAAGTTGTCAGGGTATGTGCTTTTCCCTTGCTATCCAATTATCCATCTGGCTATGGAACAGTCACAGTATCACAACCATCTATCTGATCATGGAACATTTACAGTGAGAACAAGGTAACACTTACTTGTTGAAACATTAAAACTTACCACTTCCTTTTGCTCTTCTCTTGGAGCCATTAGTACTGATAGTAATATAGTTCCCATATCATGGTCAGGATAATGAGTATCCTTTAGACTCAGGGTAACATCTGTTGGTCTAAGAAACCAAAAGATAAGTATTTATTTTGCATTTCAGGCACTGATTGAATCAAGCTTCTGAAGACTTTGACAACACGTTCTCCATTTTGCATCAAGTAACTTGAAAATAAATCTAAAAGTAAATTACTTCATGAACGTGGTGTCTATTCTTAATCAGATCAGTCTAAATACATTTGTCACATCATGCTTTCTAAACAGCTGTACATAGTAAAGTAATTAAATATTAATTGTAAAACTAATTTTGATTAAAGCAGAAAAATAACAATATAAAGTTCTACTCTTGGCCAAAAAAATTGGTACAAATATAAACAAAATAATGGCTATAATCTTGGCTAGCCAACGAGTATAAACAACTACAGCCATCTGTAGGTATTTAGGCACATGGGGTGTCACTCAATCGAGCATAATTTATAATATAAGTAAAACTTTGCTTTCTAGCTTAAGGGGCACCGACTAATTATTTCTAAGCATAATATTGCAAATTCTATTTTGGACTCCACAAGTATGAGATTATCAAACAATCTAGCATACTGTACATTTCTGACCCCAGGGATCTTTGCATGTCTGCCATACCTGTTTAATTCTAATGCAGCAAGATCCAAAAACGCAGAGCCAATGAAGTCATCTTGAAGCCCAAAGTCATAATCAAAGACCTAAGATGTACAAGAGATTAAAATATGTATTATTATAAAACTCTACTGAAACTTTCCTAATAAATGTTTCTTGATAGCCTGTTTTCACATGAACAATACTAACATTTTATTAACAGACCAAGCAATTAAAAAAAATAACAACATGGAGACTGAACAGGAGTAATAGGTGTAAGGCCTCCTTTACACATTACAAGTATCATGCAATTAACTAGCTAATTGTATAATTATCTTGAGACCAGCTACCTGTGCAAAGTGCCTGTCACGCCATAAAAAGTTCCAACCAGCTATATAGTTAGACCTCAAAAATGTGTTTTAACTTTATAGCTGGTTGCTACCAAGTTTTAATTGTACAGCAGAGTCTCCCCTGAAGCTGGGAGCCCCATCAGCTGACTAGGCTCCCAGCAGCAAGGACACACCATGCCAGCAAGGACATGGAGGGGTCTCTTAGCCCTAGCAGCTGCAGCTCTGGGTCCTGGCAGCACCCTGCAGCTGCCAGGACCCAGAGTCCTACAGCTCCAGATGCTGGGTCCCAGCAGCATGCCTCCCAATGCCAAGACCCAGCTGGATCCTGGCAGCTGCAGGGTGTGGATCTCCTAGCCCCAGCAGTGCATGAAACACTGGGGGCTGAAAAATTGCAGAAACTGTGGTCTCCCAGCCCTGGGAGTTTCAGTTCCACCTATGGCTGGGAGACCACAGTTACTTTGATCTTTCAACCCCAGAGGTTTCATGCAGCCCCAAAGCTGGGAGACTATGGCAGCTGCAATCTCCCAGCCCTGGGGGTTTCTCACAGCTTTGAGGCTGGGAGATTATAGCAGCTACAATCTCCCAGCCCCAAGGGTTTCACACAGCCCTGAGGCTGTAAAGGTCATAGCAGCTGTGATCTCTTAGTCCAGGGGGTTTTGCACAGCCCCAAGGCTGGGAGATCACAGCAGCTGCATCTCCCAGCTACAGGAGTACATGGGGTACCCCCATGGCTGGGAGCCCCTCAGCTGAGGGGGATCGCACGTTAGATCCCATTGCACATGTAGAGGGGCCCTAAGAGACAAAAAATAAATCCTGGATTTATCTTCTAGTTTATGAATTATCCTTAAGATGTATATTGATTAACTCTACAAAATACAAGCAGGAGGGTGGGATACAGCTGTAAGAAGGAAATGAGCTGTGGTGCTAGTATAAATATTAAATGATAAAAATAAACCTATAACACTACAATTTTTCAAGATTGTTTAAACTGTTTTTAAATTTATAAACTGAAACAATCTTTAAGTGATTTATGGAAGGGGATTCTATCATTACACAAACTGATACTTGAGTACATGGTTGCTGGTGACTATTTTATATCAAGTAAGATCATGACATCTCAAAAAGCATCAAGACAAACTTGTAGAAAACTGGAATGGAGTCTGTGGCCTTTGTACCAGACTGATATGAAAGACTGGGGATAGATTATTACTCCTTCCTGTATTAAAGGCAGTGAAAAGGAAGGTTTTTGGTGAAAAAAATAAAGGAAAATGAAACACAGCACAACACAATTCTGGTAGTTTACACAAACCAAAATGTAGAAAAAGCCAAGTCCAAACCTTTTCTTGGAAATATAAGTTTCAACAAAAATGTTGGCAGGAGGACTTCTTTAAGAGAGCGAGATGCTCCAAGATGACCAATACCCTAGTAATGCATTTAGCTTTGACACATGAAACCCAATTTCAAGGCACTGCTCTGCCTTATTTGGACCGTTAGAGTCTCTTTCTCTCCGGGCATGGGCACACAACTCAGCATGGGGCAAGTGAGGGCAGAAACTTAAAGCCCTGGAGCTTCCATGCACCAAGGGGGATAAGAGCACACATAAATAGTCACAGGCAGATCCAGGATTTTATAAAGGGGTATATGGGAACATCCAGTGGTACTGCAAGGGTGGATGCATCTCCCGCTCCCAGGTTCCCCCCACTGGGCAGGCACACTCAGAAGCAGGAGCAGCACTAGGGACTATTTTTTAAGTCCCTCAATGAGGTAAGAATCTTCCCTAGGGGTGCACCGATACATCAGTTTGATATCAGATTGGTAACAATATAAAGAAAATTGTCTATATTGGATATCAGCCCGATGGGGCTGATAAATTGGGTGGTAAATGACTGTGCACCCACAGCACAGCATGGAGCAGAGCCAGCAGTATGGAGAGGGAA